CTGGATGGAATACCCGGCTTTGCGTGAGTCTAACTGGCTCCGAAAGAGCAAAATTAATGCGCAGCTCAGAAGGCTCAACTTACCAGTTTTCCTTCTTCTTCTGTTTCTCGCCTAACGCAAAGTAGATCTTCTGGCCGCCTTGAATTACCGCATCTCTCTCATGTGGAATGAAAATGATCAACGCTGCTTTTTGCAGTAAAGTTGGGAGGGGCTTGATAGCAATCAATAAGAGTTTATTGTTCTTCAAAATCGATAAATCAATAGAAAGGGCCGGAATTGCGCCACGAAAAGCAGCTTACTTGGTGGGCCGGTATCGAAAACATATGTGTGCAAAGTTTGGCGCTGATTGGTCCACATACAAAAGTTTCTATAACGAACACACTAACTAACGGTTTCTCAATACTCAGCTTTATATAGGGTGTCCCAAAGAGATGTGATCACTGTTTGATCGTTAACAACTCTCTTGCTTTCGTGTCTTACCGCCGAGTATGAGGCGCCATTCTGTAGAGCGGGGTTCAGCTTAGATTTACAGCATGGAACGAATTACCTATCGCTCTTAGTTACTGTAGAATCACGGTAAGAATGCCATTTGACAAAAGATTTTTCAAAAAATCTGAAAAATCGTGTAATAGGGCTCTCGCGCACACTGTTTCCGCTACACAATTTTTTACGAATGTTTTCTGCTTTTTGGACCTTGTAATCCCATTTCTGACAAGTGCTGGGAATCAAGTTATTACGGTTTACCTGTGATAACATTGGAAAGAAGCATCGCAGTAAAGTGGAAATTTCACATCAGAAATCAGCGGCTTCCATTACCATAGTATAAGAATTTTTGACTTGTTCGATTTCGTTCCGAGGCAGGAAGGCCTCCAGTGGCTTAGAATCCTTGTCGAAGTTCCTGCCGTAATTTTACAGTAAGAAATGATCCTTGATTCGTTTAACACTTTAAATCTAAGTTAAACCTTTCTCTACAGAATGGTTCTTCAAGCTCGGCGAAGGACATGCAAGCAAGGGAGTTATTAACGATCAAACAGT